AAATACTATCTTTTCAACCTGGGGGTTACGAAATTAATATTTTAGCTATACTTGCTGCCAACCACGTAGCTGGAAGTTTGATCTCTTGTGAACGTTTGGGCTTCAATGTTTCAACCATTTCCAATACTAATAAATGCAAAAAGGTAGATCTCAATAATTTCACACGTGGATTGTCTTTTGGGTGTGCCTCCGAAAGTTACTGGCTTCAACTGGTAAATTTAAAACTTTGAAAATATGTTATTGATTTACTGATATGCTGCTTCATTTTAATTGAGCATTAGAGTTTGACGCTGATACTCTGGTGTCTTGTTTCTCTCATTGAGGGCATGATTAAAAAAAAGAAGGTCCTGGGTTTGAATCCAGTGGTCTGTGCCTTTCTTTGTCAAGTTTCTTCTGGGTTCTCTGGTTTCCTCCTACAGTCAGTGACTTGCAGGTAAGTTTACACTCTGGAAATTTGTACTTTTTGCCAAAATAACTCGTTTTGTCCAGCACAAAAAAGTTTTTGGGACGTGCACACCGCTTTCCTCCAAAATTAAAATTGCCTCTAGGTGTAAATATCATTTTCAGCTTTTTGTTAGGAAATTGTAAACTCTGCCCAGGTCTAAGAGAGGTCTCTTGTTCCTCTATGTGTCTCTCTGAATGTTAATAAGATTTGAATGAATAATTTTTCCTCAGGATATAGAGAACCAGTCAGACTCAATGTCCCATATTTTGACAGCGCTAAAGTCCAATTATGTCTCATAAAGATCTGAGTGTCTGGGGATTTTCTGATAACTATTATCACTGCTTTCAAGTTGCAATGGATCAACTTATCAATAAACTCTCGCACAGTGAACTGTTGGAGGGACTTTGGGCAACCAAATTGTTTTATTTAAAATAGAAGACAAAGACATCATGGTAAACCAGACCTGTCAAAATCCAGCAAGTTCCAAATCTATTAATTCTATTTCTCCAGTTTCTGTTATATTTTCATATTACCAATGAAGAATATTACTATGTATTGTGTAAAAGGCTTCAGCTCAAGGTACTGTAGCATTTTAGCATCTTTCAACTCATTGTTTTTGGTTTTTCAGCCTGCAACTTTACTGTTTTGGTTCACTTTCACAGCTCTGATAGCTCTGATATAAACCCACTTTACACAACCTGCCAAGCATCAATCAGAATCAGAAGAATCAGAAGGAGCTTTATTGCCAAGTAAAGTTTTACACATACAAGGAATTTGCTTTGGTGATAAGGCTACAGGTAGACAAACATATAGAAGACATAAATAGATGCAGAAATATATTAATATGGAATAAACAAACGCAAGTGAGAATGAGAATAATTGAAGAACAGAGAAAAAGAACACAACTAGGGAGTGTCAGTGGGGGACCCGGGTCTTGTTGATGAGGCTAGCTGCAGACGGGTAGAAGCTGTTTTTGTGGCGAGAGGTTTTGGTCCTGATGGACCAAATCAGCAGACAGACAAAGTTAGGGACTAGCTTGAGATAAAAGTGGCCAAATATTTTCCGCAGGAGCTGGCAGAGACCAAAACAGAGCTAACAGGCACACGATTTCAAATGAATGCTAATGTTGCTCTTTTTCTGCTGGATGTGCAAACATGTCAGTGTTACTGCTTGTTGCGCCAACTATTGAGTGTTAAGTCAGCCAACTCTAAATACAATTTGTTTTGCAAAAACATTGTTATTCATGCTTGAGACTACACAATCTGAGGTCAGATTGAGCCTAATTGTCTAATGTCCTCAACAGTTCACACCAGATAACAAATTAGACCAATGAATCGTCTCCTGCAGAACTGTGAGCTTTTAGAGGATGACTGTCAGAGATGTAGCACAGAAACTAATGAACTCGTGGTGGTGAATGAAATCGCCTGGTTGTTGTGAATGAAATGTTAAACTGGCGTCTCAGTCATTAAAAGTGGGGAGAGAGAGACATGAGTCATGCTGCTTCAAGCACAATCAAAGCTTCCTGCTCCTTCATCTCCGTCTCTGCTGATGGACCCGAAACAAGCGATCAATGCAGTGAAGCAGGATAACTCAAGCACAGATTAAGAATACAAGCTACAAAAATCATCTTTCTACGTCCTTATTGTGTGAAACCATCCATCCTTTGCATTGTTACAATGGACTCAGTGGTTGCATAAGTGATTATCAGTATCATAAATATCATAATGTAAATTATACCAAAAATGTTTGGTGAGTTAAAGTGAGTAGAAGTGCATTTTGTGCGCTTCCGCTGACTGCATGACAGACATCATTTATCCCTGACACGAAGTTCAAAGTGATTATTACTTTAATTTACAGGTTCATTATGATGCTATTAGTTATATTGCACAGACACAAATAATTAGATAGTTTCTTTATCATTCAGCATAATACTTTGTATTCAGTAAAAGTGAAACAACACTGTATAATAAGCTTATTTCTCTCTGTGAAAATGTGACCCTGCTGTTTTCTACTAATGAGATGACCTGCTATACAAATTACTTCAAGGCTTTTGCAAATCAACATTTCTCTTTCAATAATAGCTTGATTACAGCTGGTAATCAAAACTCTATTTATTCTTTGGACCTTCAGTCTCTGCACATTACATAAAAGGTGAATTCTAAAAACTGCTTTTAAAAGTAAAAACCCTGACTTTTTATATGTGTGAGGTCCTTTGGTGTTTGATTTTACTGAAGCTAAGAATAACAAGGCCCTTTAACGCCAACCGCTGTTTGGTTTTCTGGATCTTTTACAGCATAAAGGACTGACTGAGTCACCAAGTTTAAATGCAGGAGAGACTGCTAATGCCATTCTGAGGTAATAATGGAAAAGGCAGTATATCGCAAGTTACTGCTGATCTACCTGGAATACCAAATAAAGCAAAGTTCTCAGACTCATTGCTGCTGTTATTTAAAGATAAAATGATTCCTTGAGGCTATAATCCAACAAAGATTTGCATTCAAGAGTTTAAATATAAAATATAGTCTAATCTTGTACTGACAGTTAGCCCACAAATGCAACATCAAAATTGTCTAAATGCTTATCAACCCTCACCGAAATGACCTCATCAGTTTAAAATCATCCATTCTCCATCTAAATAACGAGTAATCCATTACTTTATCAGTAACGACCCCTCGCAGCGCTGCTGTTGTTGTTGTTGACTTTTTGAGGCATATTTTGCCCAGCAACTTTTACGGGATGACTCACCCAAGGCAGCTGTTACGCATGACAAAAAAAAAAAAAAATCAAAGGATAAGGTGGAGCAAGCAGATGGCAGGAGTCAGATAAAAAGGTGTTTGGCGCGGGGGAGCGACTATTTGAGACGGGGAAAGGGCCACATGAAGACGCTAACCGGGACCATGCAGACTTCCAGGCTGCTCAGCGGGGCACTGCTCTGCGCACTGCTGCTGCTCTCCAGCGTTGCTGGAGCCGAAGTGTTGGACACAGAGTCCGAAGAGGAGCTGAGCCCCAGAGCACTGCGGGACTTCTACCCAAAAGGTCCGAACCTAACCAGTGAGAAGCAGCTGGTAAGCTTATATCTGCACACCTTCTGCACTACAGGCATGCAAAAAAAAGACGATGCAACTTTAAATCGTATCGCAAAAACAAAAAAGTTTTATTTGCCTATTTTATCAAATAAAAAAGTTTAATACTTGCATGTTAGCCTACTTTGAAATGCACGTATGTTGTGTTGAATAAAGACAAAATATGCATATTGAACTCCAGTCTGTCACCACCTTAAAATAAACGAAACTCACATACAGAAATGCCTTTAAGATTATCCCTTGTCATGTAACTTCTGTCCTGTGCAGATAATATATTGACATTTTTTCTCATCGATTTGTGTCATTTTAACCAAAATATGTAACTGTAGGCTGTATAACTTTATTACATATTATAATATAACCTTGCAAATTAGATAATCATAATTATTATTATTAATAATAATAATTTTGTATGTTTGGTTAGTTAGGTAGGCTACTTAGTATTTATATGGCACAATTTTCCATTTGTATGTCCGTTGCTAAAATAAAAATGGCACATTCATTAAGCTGTTTTTTTTTTTTGCTGTTTTATGTGTTACCTGACAGCTTGGAGCTCTCCAAGAAGTTCTTGAAAAGCTGCAAGCTAAACGGCTGCCTTTATGGGAAAAGAATTTGGCCAAGTCCCAACGGTAGGCTATTGTACAAGCAAACTTAAACATATCGTATTTACTGATAATGTATTGATGCTTGTGGCAGCAGGCAGAAATTGATCAAACCTCTGGTGTCGTTGCTTCCCCCTCAGTGTGATGTCGGGGAGCAGTGCGCCGTGAGGAAAGGCGCACGGATCGGCAAGATGTGCGACTGTCCCCGGGGAGCTTTCTGCAACTTTTTCCTGCTGAAGTGCTTATGAGTCTCGCCGGATCTGAATGTAGCTTTGAGATGGGGAGAAAAAAAACTGTCACACGATTCCTTTGTAATTACTGTCATATTTTTTATGATACAGCTGAGGAGCAGGTGCGGTGATTGCCTAACCCTTACGAAAAAGAACTATCGTAGTTCTATGATAAGTATATATATTTAAAAGTATGTTATCACAGAAAAACTATAAGTCTCTGTAAGGATATTATGGCGACGGACAGGAGGTGAGAATACCATAAAGTTCCTGTAAATATTCAGAACCACTTTTTGTCTGTTGAAAAATCACAGGATCATTGTTGTGATGTAGCCTATAGGAGCTAAGAAAAAGTCTTTAACAGCAATATCATGGGAACATAGTGATTCTTCGTCTGGAAACCCCCCAAAACCTGTCTTTTGAACTTGAACTATTTTGTTTCAGATGAATGTTGGTGTAGATTTATGAAAATAATAACAATAAACTGTCATCTTGTTTTGTAAAGCAGTGGAGTGGCCGCTTATTGTTTTAAAATGTTGGTCCATCGTGTAAACACACAGGCCGTGTGTCTGTTATATGACGCGCATGTTTGTGTCAGCTCGGTCATATCTGAACGTGGACGTGACGGCAATCTGTGACGTCACACGTCCCGGGGCCCCTAATTGGCAAAAACATGGATTAATTTTAAACCTATCCGCTGCAGAGGAAGTAGTTATGAACCAGGGAGTGACTGTCACATCTCAATCACGCTGATCCTCCAATTCACTGTCAATGGAGCAGCGCCAGGCTGTTGATGACGTCATGGCAATGAAAGAAGCCTCAACCTGCTGCACATGAATTCAGATTTAGAGTGACTTAAAACTGAATATACAACAATAATCGATATTTGATTCATATCACATATACACGTAATCTCGTATTTAAGCTCATCTGGATATTTAACACATTCAGCTTTGTTTAGTTGTACTGGAAGAGTCACTCTTCACTCAAAAGTGTGTCTTGCTTATTGTGACTTTGCTTGGATGTTTTTGCGTTCACTGTGCAGAAAGATGTATGTGCAGAGTTTGACACATTCAAAGTTTTGCCTGTGCTCATGCACTTTACATCTGAGTTTAAGACATGCATAAAAGAGCATTCATTTACTGACATCACAACTAGTCTGGAAGCCAATCATGGTCCAGCATGAAACTTAAAAAACGGTGACAAGGAATTCTAGCCTTCATATTTATAGACCGAATGTTTGACCTGTACCTGGTGTGGTCTAGGGTGCAATGCCGACCATGAAACACAGGTCTGGTTCATGTCTGAATGAAACCCTTTTGCATGTCGTTTTCTCCCCTCATATCCTGTCATACCTCAGACTGTCAATCAAATAAAGGAACTGGCCAAATAATAATATAAAAAAAACATTTCAGAGGGAAAATCATCAAACACAAATTCTGGTTCAAGGGCAGAGTCCTTCCAAATCCTTGAAACATGTGTAAGGGGTGTTTGTTTCTACTTAAATTTAACGCTTATCGCCATCACTGTGCACCATCTGATCATGACGTGCATCTTTTCAGATAATAAAGAGTGGCATATATGTGTATTTCTGCTAAGAATGAAAGCAGTTTCAAGATTATTGTATGGATGAAATGATGAGTTCTGTATATCAGTGGTGGAAAGTGAAGTACTGTTACTCAGGTATACTTCACATAAGTATTTCCATTTTCTGCTACTTTTACTTCAATACATTTATCTGACATCTTTAAAGTACATAAAGTAGTAAAAATGAGCTTGAACATTCTGGAAGGGTCCATGCAGAATGAGAGCTTTTACCTTTTAAGTATTTACGTTTAAGTTTTCTTTACATTTACTAAAGCAACAATTTTTTGGAAGTAGCTTGTAATAGAGTATTTTTATATTGTGGTATTCAAGCGTCACTTTGTGTTCAAAAGTGGTGGGGACATCATAATAATAAAAATCTTTATTTGTAGAGCACTTTTCAAAAACAGTTACAAATGCTTTAACAAGTGTAAAGACAATAATACCCAAAAGACAATAATTCAAAAAACAATACAAGATAAAAGCAAGAAATTGAAAAGACTAAAATACACATTTAAGATAAATACAAAATAAGTAGAGGCGAGAGGCCATGAAGAGCTTTAAAAGTGATCAATAGAATTTTAAAGTCAGTTCTAAAACATACTGGGAGCCAGTGTAAAGCTAAAATAGGAGTAATGTGGTCATATTTCTTTGTTCTGTTAAAAGCCTGGCAGCTGAGTTCTGGACAGTCTGGAGTCGATCATAGATTTTTGGGTTAACAGGTGAAAAGGCTGTTGCAATAATCCAGGCTGATGAGATGAAGGCGTGTAAATGGTCTCGGTGTCCTTAAAGTTAACATAGATCGAATATATTATATTAT